GAGATAACCTTTCTGTATAGAAACGAAAATACGCCGTTATGTGACACGGACGCACAAGTTCGAGTCGAGTCGTCAATATAAACAGTCAACGTTTTTCTCCGTTGACTAAAATCGTCCTCTTTGCTTTGGTGCTCTAGGGTTCTACTATCGGCGGTCTCTAACATTGCCGGGATGGAGGCGAACGGTGGAGATTCTTCGGAAATCGTCCGTGAATTGGAAGCCTTAAAGCTCAGAAAATCGGAAATTGAGCACCGAATTTCGACCCTCGAAGCAAAGCTCCAGGAGACGACGGCGGCTGTCGAACCGTGCGACGCCGTATCTAACGGTTACTCATCTCCATCGTCGCCGGCGATTGAACACGGTCTTGAACACGGGTTGTCTCCGGATCAGATTTACCGTTACAGTCGCCAATTGCTACTCCCTTCGTTTGGCGTTGAAGGTACTTTGCTCAAACAGTCAAATGCAACACTTTTTACGTTCTAGCTTCTCATTGAAATTGATGGTTAGCTTGGAGCTGAAAAATGAAAACTTTGTATTTAGTTTCTTCTGTTTGATTCACTTAATTACATCTTTGAAGCTTTCAAGCATATATATAAATAGTCTATGAGAAACTTGAATGCATTTCTTACGATAGTCTACTCTGGCTTCTTCTGATGTTAAGACAGTCCCAACATTTTGCCTTTCTGATAAATGCATTTGTTTGAAGTCTGCATTGCTTGTTTCCTCTGCTAGTGTCTTCCCCAAATTGACCCTTCCATTTTGTTCGATGTGTTTGTATGATTTTAGCGCAGTCAAGCCTCTTGAAGTCTTCGGTATTAGTCATCGGAGCTGGAGGACTGGGTTCACCCGCCTTATTGTATCTGGCAGCTTGTGGTGTTGGTATGGTTTCAGACTCTTATGATTGAATCTATCTACAAGTGTCGATAGAATATATATCTTTCTTTGTACAGAAACTATTCGTTCTCCCTTATTTATGATGTTCTGGTCATCTTTTTTACTGTATTCTAGGTCGGTTGGGTATTATCGATCATGATGTCGTAGAACTCAACAATATGCACAGGCAGGTACAACTCGGAAAATTCTGCTGTGGCAGCTCTTTCTTTTAGTTGGCTCTTTCTGTGGTTGGGAGTTGAACGAAAGATACTACCCTTTTGTTGATTTCTTTCTCTTTTGATTTGTTTATCCTCCAGATTATACACACCGAAGCATTTATTGGTCATCCCAAAGTGAAATCTGCTGCTGCTGCTTGTCGCTCGTAATTCAAACTCCATCAGAATTAATATGCTTTGCTTTAGGATGAAATTTTCATGTCATGGTGTTCTCACATGTCTAATCACTGTGCCTTTTACTTTTATTTCCAGAGTAAACTCGACGATTAAAATCGATGAACATGTGGAAGCTCTTCGCACATCCAATGCTTTGGAAATCCTCAGCCAGTATCCTTTATGTTAACAACATGCTATAGGAATTAGGAAGTCTTCTCAGTTCTTCCGTATCCAATCTTTGGTTCTTCAGTCTCTTGTGAAGTATTGAATGGTTATTATTTCCATAACTGCATAAATTAGATATGATATCATAGTAGATGCAACTGACAATCCTCCTAGTCGATACATGATCAGCGATTGCTGTGTCCTGTTAGGAAAGGTGAAACATCTTCTGAAACTCTTTATTTCCATGTTTCTTCATAGTCATAGTCAATTTTATTGATCCCGGTATGGGGATTCAATCTCTAGCATTTATTGACTAGCGTTTCGTATATAGCCTTTGGTATCGGGTGCTGCGCTTGGAATGGAGGGGCAGGTATACAATATGACAATCGAGTTATTGTGTTACTCCTTATAGATGTTAAGCAGCACATTAAACGGTTAAACTGTGATTTTGATTTTTGTATACAGCTTACGGTGTATAATCACAATGGAGGCCCGTGTTACCGTTGTCTATTTCCCACTCCTCCACCTACAACAGCGTGCCAAAGATGCTCTGATAGTGGAGTTCTTGGAGTAGGTACATGTTATGACCTACA